CTGCACAGATGATGCAGGATGTTAGATGTTAGAAAGTTTATCTACCAGCAGATTTCAGTATCAGGGAAAGCTGGGAAAACCAGGAAGGGGATTTGGGGATCCCAGGGTGTGAAAAACGAGGTTTGCTTTTCTGGTAAAATTTAAAAAGTGTAATAAAAAGACAGTAGGAAACAGATATAAAGCAAAGGGTTAAAAATGGCCAACCACACTGTTGTCTTCAGAGAGCCTCTTTAAATACATATTTCTTTACATCAGCCTGTTGCATATTCATAGATCCTTATGCATATTCATATCCCCCCCCCCCCCCCAATCAGCTAGTTTACATATTCCAGGAGCTATTTTGCATGGCCCCTCCTTGGGTCTTCCTTTTTAGAGCAAGCCTGTTTCTTGGCTGTGGTTTTGGCTCCTTGTCCTTATCACTTCCAGTCTGGGCCTTGGTCCATACTTTCTGCAGATGGCAGATGCTGACAGCTGGCAGATCAATAGCAGGATCCTTATTTCATGTTCACTGGATGTTATCCTGACCAAACAATTGACTCATAACGACATCAGCTACCATTACTACCATGTCTAAGTTTTTGTTAATAGCAGAAATAAAAGCAAAGTTATTTTAACATTATACATATAGAATTCATCTTAATATTTGCAAATAACCAACAATATAATATGTATTTATAACACAGGGTCAAGGAAAGGTGGGTGTAGGGCCTCCCACTGTCAAGGAAATCGGGGTGCCAGGCTGGGGAGAGCACGGATGGCTGGAAAGGAGGTCCACAAGGTCCCTGGTTGTCAAGAGTTTAGCTGAAGAATGGCTGCGCAGCAAGGGACACGAAAGGGTTAAGTTGATGAGAGTGTGAGAATACGTGACTTGTAGCATGAAAACTATGCCCTTGAGAAACAGATGTCTCCTAACAACCTTGAGAAACAGATGTCTCCTAACAACCTTGAGAGACAGATATCTCCTAACAACCTTGAGAAACAGATATCTCCTAACAACCTTGAGAGACAGATATCTCCTAACAACCTTGAGCATACAGGTGTCTCGTTAAAAATGAAATATTGCTTAGTATGCAGTAAAGTAATCAAGTATAAAGAAACAGTAACTGCAAGGCTTATCGCAAAGAGATATATGTGTTAATAGAAAGGTAACCAATCCTGAGCTTCGCTTTTGCAATATGTATGAACTAATTAGTGCTTGTATAAAGAAACTGTAATCGACTCCAATAAACAGACTTGTTGATCATGACAGCATGAGGCTTGTCTCCCGCGACACTCTCACCAACACCTGGTGTTGAGGAAAGAGAGGGTATGTGGGCTAGGAAAGGCAAGAAAGGGGGTCCAGGGGCTCCCAGGGTCAAGGAAAAGGGGCATTTGGGGGCTGGGAGTGTAAAGGGAGGCAGGTGGGTGTCGGTGTTGTGGAGTGGGGAGTTCAGACGGGTCCTGGCACTGGGACAGGGAGCGCAGGGCCGCCCCAGTGCCCGGGAGCGGCAGCTCAGCGGATCCCGGACCGGGGGTCCCGCTCGCCCCCCGCCCCTTCCCCGCAGAGCTCCGCGATTGGCGCCGCTCTTTCCTTTCCGCCAATGGAAGGCCGCGCCTGCCGTGACGTCACCGGTTGCTGGGCAGATGGTTGGAGTGGAATGGCCGAGAGCGGCGGGCAGCGAAAGGAGCGAGGGTTGGACATCGGGAAAAAAGTCCCGGCCAGGGGATCAGTGAAAAGCCAATTGAATATTAAACTGATTTATTAAAAAAAAATGGATATTGATCTAGTATCAATATCCAACTGTGACGGACAAAAACTCTCTAACAGTTTAAAGTTAGAAAGTGTATGTTTATTCGACGCCGGGCAGCGTGCGGGATAGCTCCCAAATACACACCGCACCTTCCAGGTGATTACAGAGTCTTTTTATCCATACAAGTATTGAATATACAAAATACAAATGCATATTCATAATTTTGGTACATCCCATTCCCCGCTTCGTATGCTAATCACTCCAAAAGCTATTAAGCATGCGTAGTTTGTCCCTTGAAATGGGTCGGTGGTCCCTTTTATGGGGAGGGGTCCCAAAATGAGGAAGTAAATGAAGTCTTCCTCGTTCTGACCTTTCTACCTTTTCAATGCGGGTATGACAAATGAACTCTTGGTAGAACTCCCATTCCTTGTCTTCAACTGGTTTCAGAACAGAGGAGGCCCACAATTGTCTTATGTTCCTAAAAGCTATTTATCAGTTTCTATATTCTTCATTATAAACCCAGCTAACCAAACATTGTGCTGACAAGCAATTAATTATTAGTTAACTACTAACTCCTAACTTCATCAAGGCCTACTCATTTATTATTCTTATTTTAATTAACTCTAGTAAGGCTTATTTCTAACTAAAATCTTAGCTCCTCAAAATCTCTAAATGCCTTAAAGTTTACGTTTCAAAACGACAGCATGACAAGGCCCGTCGGCAGGATTCATTCTCCTACTTACAGACAGTAAAGGCAGACCAAGGGAAAAAGAAAAAAAAAACAACAACAAGATCCAGTCAATCAAAACAGAAATGAACTATCCGTGCGTGTTTGTTTAGGTGCATGTGACAAAGGATAGAAAGGACAAGGATAAAAAGGAATACAGCCTAAAAGCTTAACAGCACTCAAACTGAGCAGTACTTATACTTTAACAATTCAACAAAGGAATAAAACTTAATATCATTTAACTTAGCATAGAACTTAAAATAAGCTTACTTACAGGCCTAACTTAGATATCTGTTGGAATCTGTGGGTATTGGTGATTCCGAGATTGTAGAAAGTCTCTGTCTTTTTGCCCCGTTGCCAAAGAAGAAGCCATAATTCATCTGTGCTGTTTTCAAAGTTGTTTATTCTGTTTATCTCTAACATGTTCTGCTGCCCTGCCGCAGCTCTGTCCTGCAGGGCAGCGTGTGGGGCTCTGCCCTCAGTGGGATGGTACAAACATTAAATACCACAAACTACCTGTGCTGGATTTACAATAACGTGCCAATATCTGTCACCTACGTTGGACAGTGTATCCCCAGCCTAAACCAACAGAAAAATGCCAACACCACAGTGAAACATGGAGGGCATGAAGAAGGAGGAAAAGGACAAGACACACCCAATTCCTCCATCTTGTCCCCTCTGAACCCCTAATCTAGAAACCTAGAATTTTACTTTTGCACCCGTGCCACACTTAATTATTACTCTTATCAAGCACTCAAAGCTTGTAATTCATCCTGTAAGATTGAAAACTCCTCTCCATGGACAGAGATCACAGACAGTGTCTCTGGGGGCTCTGTCCAGGGGGGTTGCTGACCCCTGCCAGGGTCCCAGGCCCTCCAGGGCAGCCAGAAGGAAGCCCTGGATTCCCACAGATATCTAAGGTACTTAAACATTGAAGACAGCATCATTTCTCCCAGGTTTGCTATAGCGTAGACGCACAAAAAGCACACAGACATAAAGAGTCACTGCAAGGCACCTGTGAAAAATTCCTCTCCAAGCTAGTGAACCCCTGGCATCTTTTCACCAAAGGGAAAAGGCTGAGGCCTCCAGGAGTGGGGGCACTGACAGTGAGGGATCCCTGAGTCCAGCAAACAGGAGAGTTCCCAGCTCGCAGGCACTCAGCTGCTCACCACTGCTGCTGCCCTGCACAGCTCCAAGGGGCTCCTTGGGCACCCCTGCTAGAGGGCCCCAAGGGATGGCCTTTATCACTAAAAGCTTTCATCCTGGCCCCACTTTGGGGAGGGCAGCTTTCTTTCAAAGTGTGAAAACAAGGATTTTGTCTAATTAAGACAAGAGAAATCGTTTCCAAGGCTGCTCATAAAGAAATCAGGCTCTCCTTACACAGCAGCACTGCCTGGATGCACAGTGTTTCTGATAAGCTCAAGAAGAGCTTGGCCCAGGTGAGGTTCATCAAGACCAAGGCCTAATGAGCATCATTTATTATACCATGCTGTAGCCTGGAAAAGGCACGGGGCAAATCCACCACCACGGGGAATCCCTGGGGATTTACCTGGATCCCCCTGGGAAACTTCCTGGAATGCGCATGACCCTCCTGGATCTTCCTGGGACTCTTCCCATGACCCCCAGTTAGAGTGTACACACAGTCCTGGTGTCTTCCATTCCCAGTGCCTGTTTTCCCAGTGTCTCCCATATTGCTCTTCTCCATTCCTGATGTCTCTCATTCCCAGTGTTTTCCATTCCCAGAGTTCCCCATTCCTGGTGGGCCCTGTTACCAATGTTCCTCATTCCTGGTGTCCTCCTGCTTGTGGTGGTCCTGCATCCCAGTGTCCCCCAGTTCTAGGAGTCCACTGTTCCTGCTGTCCCCTGTTCCCAGTGTCCTTCATTCCCAGTGTCCCCCACTCCTGCCACTCCAAATCCAGATCCTGTGGAGTTCCTGGCTTCTCTCCAAGCCCTCCTCATCTCCAGGGCCATGAACTCAGCCTTTGCTCTCTGTGTCCTCAGGAGCTTTCACTCCAACAGCCCCTGGGTGTGGTCATCTCGGGGATCACGTTGGGGTGACCTCAGGGACACCTCATAGTCTCGGTCATGGCTGTCTCCAGATCTTGATCACCTCATGGTCATGGCATGGTCATCTCAAGGTCATCCACTGGTCACAACCATCTCATGGTCCTGGTCCTGGTCCATGGTCATAGCCAGGGTTATCTCATGAGCGTGGCTGTCTCATGGTCACATCCATGTCGTGGTTGTGCTCATCTCATGGCCACCTCTTCATCTCTTGGTCACCGGCATCTCAAGATCTGATGTCAGTCAACTGATTGACATCTCTGTTGAGCTCCACTGCTGAGGCCCCACGACACAAGCCCACAGCTGGTCCCTGATGAGGATGGAGCAGATCTCAAGGGTTGGTGCCATATTCCCAGCACATGAACATGGGCTGGATTTGGTCTGCAAGGATCTCGACACTGTGCTGTGATCCCGTTATTAAAATTTTTAGAGATGCCTCTCTCTGAATTCAAGTCCAAATGAGACCATGTGCCAAAGTTAATAGTATGGATTTTATTTAACAGTAAATGAGAAAAAGAAAGAAAGAGAAAGAAATAGAAAAAGAGGGTGGAAAGAAAGAGAGTGACAAAAAATATCAGCATCCATGGACCCCAAAAGCATCCTGTTGGACCTGTTGCAAATGAGAGGGGAGAGATTAGACAAGTGTCTGCCTTTGTCCAGGTTTCTGGCAGCAGGCAGCAGCTTTATTGAAGCAGCCAGCACTGCAAAATCACTCTCACTCTCAAGTTCTTAATAATGACCTAGTACAATTTGAATACAATTTAAAGGCCCACTACAATTTGAATTATTAATTTAGTAGACACAAGGGAAAAACCACACATGAGACTTTGAGAGGCTTACTACACAGATAAACTAAATTAGTAGGTTCATAAGACAACACATGATAATAAAGGTACCTGTGTTACAGCTAGCAAAGAGTAGTAAGTATTAGGAGCCAATGTCACTTACCAACAAGTGATAGTGGGGTGCAGAAGTCTCCTTCATCCCAGTCCTCAGCTGGGAAGTAACTGGATAATGACATCTCGATGGAAGAGAACTCTCCACACACTCAGAAAATCTGTAAGAGATTTCTGGTTTTATGAAAATTGCTGCACTCTTGTGCAAGGCCCAAAAAAAGTGTTCTCTGTGTGTGGCTTTCCTGGGGTGAGGGGTTTTACTACTGAGCAATTCTGTGTAACAGAGGATGGGTGTTCGCTGCTGCTGACCAGAGCTTACATCACACCCCCAAAATTGTCCTTCCCCCCTTGGCTGGGGGGAGGGCATGCAAGCCTGGCCTCAGCAGATGAGCCTGTGGGCCATGGTCTCCCCCACCCCAAACCCACCCAGAGCTGATTTTCAGGACAGCTGCCGGGTTTGGCTTTCTGGGGGATAAAAGCCAGGGAATCTCAGAAAAACGGAAAGCTGGACAAGACAAACGCAGGTCCAAACCAATGTGGTTAATCAAGCGTTCTCCCTTTATTCAAGATAAGGTGGTAGTTTATATAAGCTTCTACATAGTTTACAAAAACAAAGACACTCTGATTGGTAGGTTAACATTGTTTACCTTTTCCTTAAAACGGCCTACACCTTACACTATAAAACCTATACTAATTCACACCCAGACAACCCAGTGGTCCCCATCACACCTTAAGACTATTTCTATCTGCGCCACAAGCTCTGAATTTCTAACTGCGTCAGAGGCTTGAAGGCCCACAAGGCCCAAATCTGAGGCCTAGACTGGAGTAGCTCAAATCTCATAACTCATGCCCTCTTTCTCTCAAAAATGCTGCAACAGGGGATATTCCCTTTTCCCTCAGCCTTGTCTGCTTCTCTCTAGGCCTGAGATAATTGAACAACAGTGTCACCTTGATCTATCTCAGGTTCCCTTAGGGGGCTTAAGTCACAGCCCAAAGTTCTTCTCAGGAGGCATCCTCAGGGAGGGGTGGGTTTCAGTGGTCGTAGCTTCTTTATCCACTTTTGCCATAATGGTCAAAACTCCCTCCTAACGATGTTTAAGCCATTAGTTGTAACATTTCAGTCTCTGACACACCAACACTATGAAGTATCTCGGTCCTGTCCCTGATCCCAGCAAGACAGGTGGGAACTGCCTGGAGAGGTTGTGGTTTCCTGCCCCCTCCTTGGAGCTGCTCCGGGCCGGGTGGGACAGAGTTTGGAACAATGCCGGGACGTGCCTGCACTCGGCCACCACTGCAGCCCCATGGGTTTTATTGGCTGACGCTGCCGGGGGCGCTGCACCCGCGGGTACGGGGAGTCCTGGGTGGGATCGTGGGCTGATGGTGTCAGCGTTCAGGAACACACATAATCACGGGATATGATTATATGCAGGTGCTTTTATTGAGAGCCCTGGGAGTCGGGGTACAACCCCAAATCTGACTCCGACATGGCTTTCGAGCTGAACGTATTTTGTATTCTATCGTTATATAACTTACACATTAATTACTAAACTTACATTGTTCTATTGTATACATTGACATGAGTTTATCGTGATCTTTCTTAGGTCCATGACCACAGTTTCACATGATTATTCTTTCTGATTAAACAGTAATTATTTTTAATTACTAAACAATCGTCACATCTAACAATTATATCAATTATCATGTACTAGCTACATAGTGCAATACTAGTTGTTCATGTGCTAAAGGTAGCTTTTTTTTTTCCCAGGGCCTACTAAGCTTATTTTTCCTGTTAACCCTAAATCCCCATGATTTTAAACCCTTTTACTATCATTTTCCCCCCTTTGAAACTATTTTCACTTCATCATAAGTGCAAATACTTTCACTTGATACAGTCTTTAGTTTTTAAGTTTATATATGATGTTCTTCAAATCCAGGATTGACGTGAACGTTGTCATGGACTGGAGGATCAGAGGATGATGGGTGTGGGTCCCGTGTCAGTGCCTTGATTATTTTCCGGTTCCAGGATGTCCTCTTCCGTATTTCTCCTTTTAGGACACTGTAGACTAACCAAATTAATAAGAACACAATTAATAGGATTATTACACTCTCAATGATAGACTTAATCCATGAACTCACATTCCACCCTAACCCTTTAAAGACTTTGTCTAACCAGCTCGTAGTCAAATCTTTCTGCTCTTCTTGTACTTCATGCTCTATTTGTTTTAACTGACTGATGTCATATTCTACATCTGCAGTTACATTTGGGATGTGGATTCAGCATATTGGTAAAGCCTGTGGCCACTGCAGTTTGGCTTCTTGACATATTTTACTGATCTGCCTTTTTAGTATTTGATTCATCCTCTCCACCTGTCCACTTGACTCGGGTCTCCATGGTGTGTGGAGGTCCCAAGTTATTCCCAGCAACCTACTTACTTCTTTTACCACCATGGCTATGAAATGGGGTCCCCTATCTGATGATATCCCTAGAGGCACTCTGAATCTGGGAATGATTTCTTGTAGTAACCACTTAACTGTTTCTTTTGCTTGGTTCGTGCGACAGGGAAGGGTTTCTGGCCATCCAGAAAATGTCTCAACCCCTACTAACAAGTATTTGTATCCTCGAGTTCCTGGTAATTCTACAAAATCTGCCTGGCAGTAATCTCCTGGTTCTATCCCTACCCGAACCCTTCCTAGTTGTGCCTGTCGTCTAGCCACTGGGTTATTTTTCAAGCAAACCTCACACTTTGACATTATTGATTTTGCCATTGTTAACATTCGTACTGAGACCAAATAACGTTTTAGAAATTTTACCAATGCCTCTGCACCCCAATGACATTCGTTATGTTTAATTTGTAGAACCTCTCTCATTACCAAGGGGGGTACCACTATCTGTCCATGTGCAGTTACATACCACCCTTCTGGATTCTTCTGTGCATTCAGTAAATGTCCCAGTTTCTCATCTTCTGCTGAATATTTTGGCTGTGGAGGTAAATTGAATTGAGATACATTAAGTTTTAAAGGGACCAATACCGTTGTTGTTTGCACCTTTCAAACAGCCTGTCGAGCTGTCCAATCTGCCTTTCAATTTCCCTCACAAATTTTGGAGTTTCCTGATTGATGTGCTTTACAGTGCCTAATTGCCACTTGTTCAGTTTTTGTATTGCTCTTATCAGCTGCAGAACTGCATCTTGGTGTTTAATATGCATCCCTTGAGATGAAAACAGGCCCCGTTCTTTCCATAGGGCCCCATGCACATGCACTACTCCAAATGCATATTTTGAATCAGTCCATATGTTCACCTTTTTCCCTTCACTTAATTCTAGTGCTCTGGTTAAAGCAACCACTTCTGCCTTCTGGGCGGATGTATTTGGTGGCAATGCTCTTGCCTCTACCACTGTACTGATTGTTGTTACTGCATATCCAGCGTGTCTGATTCCGTTCTCCATGCAACTGCTTCCATCTGTGAACAACTCCCAGTCTGGCTGTTCTAGGGGAACATCTTTCAGATCTGCTCTAGCCACACAGGTGTGTTCTATTACTTCCACGCAGTCTTGTTCCAATGGGCTTTCTTCAGATGTTGTACCTAGGAACAAGGCTGGGTTCAAAAGGTTAGTTGTTTTTAATGTTACATCATCTTGCTCCGTTAAGATTACCTGGAATTTAATCTCTCACTGAGAGCATCCATTCTTTTTGATGCATGTGAGGTCACACACTGATTTACCAGGTGAGATTGCAGAGGGGAGTTGCAAAGCAGAGTCCCTTGCTGCACCAGCTGAAAAAGCACGTCTCCCTGATGTTTTCCAACAGGCAAAACTGAGTCACCAGCACTACCATCAGAATGTGCCAGGTTTGATTTGACAGTTCCAGCTAACACGGAGTCAGGCCCGAGCCATTGTGACCAACTGTCCTAATTGCCAGCTCCAGGCCGTGCCATCGTTGGGCATGGGGGTAAACCCCAGAGGCCTTAGCAGCTGTGAGGTATGGCAGACAGACATCACACCCATTCAGAGTTTTGGTCGCCTCGAATGCGTTCATGTGAGCGTGGACACATTCTCAGGTGCAGTGTATGCCTCTGCCCATGTAGGACAAAAGGCTGCACATGTCAAACAACACCTAGTGCAAGCATTTTCAGTATTGGGGGTGCCAAAAACGATCAAAACAGATAATGGCCCAGCGTATGTATCCAAGGAGTTTCTGGAATTTCTCCAGCAGTGGGGAGTGGAACGTAAGACTGGCATTGCCCACTCCCCCACAGGTCAAGCTGTAGTCAAGCGTGCACACCAGACGCTCAAGCAGGTATTGAAGAAACAAAACAGTTCAGCTCTGTGGATGTCTCCACGAGAGAGGCTCTGTAAAGCTATCTATACCATCAATTTTCTGAATTGTTCATTCGAAAATATGAGTCCACCGGTTGTACGTCACTTTAACAGTGGCAACCAGTTCAAATGGTCTCAGCATCCCCCAGTCGTGATTAGGGATCCAGAAACTTGGGAAACCAAGGGTCCCTATGGACTTGTCACCTGGGGTCGTGGCTATGCGTGTGTAGCTACTCCCTCAGGCCCTCGGTGGATTCCCCAGAAGTGGGTGAAACCTTTTGTCCCCAAGAATCCAGGTCAGACAAAAGGGGACAGGAAGTAAGTAGCTGATGCTTCAAAGAGAAGACGCCACCGGATGGAAGAAGAGGAATGTTCCCAAGCGTGAATTCCTTCCAGCAGAAACAGAAATTTTAATATGTTCTTAAAATGTCTGTTTTTCCCTTTTAGAGAAAACCTACCTCCCACTCAACCCTGTGATGAACCCCATGCAAGTTGTCATCCTGCAAATGCTGAAAAGAATGTTTAAGGGCTGGGGATTCATGGGGAGGTAGACATCTATTGTTAGATCAATTTTGTTACTCCTTGTTATTTTGTTCCTTGTAACCTTAGCATTCGGGATCCTGCATCACTTGCTTTTCAAAGCTATCAAGGGTCTCATACCTTCTACCTCAGAAGTCAACCACATAGAGTTGGCTAACCTGAGGAGGCCTGACCACGCCACCAAATGTGGGTGGTGGGAAACCCATACTCAGGGTTGGATTGAGCCCAGTGAATTCCTGCAACCTTGTTTAACAATGATCCTGCCCCCTTCCCCAGGACCCTGTGACTCTGATCAAGATAGCCCTGAATCCCTCCTTTCTGCCCCAACAGGGTTGGCGGAGAACCAGGGAAGCCCACCCTGTCCAAAGTCTATATAGACCCCTGACATCTCCTGTTCGTCCTCTTTTGCCCTGCTCTCCCCCAAGGACATCACAGAATAAAGAGAGCTGAACCAGCTTATCTCGGGGTAAGACCCTCTTTTGGAAATCTTTGCCATCTCCTGTTATTCCTCCCCTCACAGCCTCTGATCTCTGAGCTAGCCTGATTATTCGGGGGCTGTGTGAGGGGGGAACCACACATCCGGACATCCGTAATGCTTTGCTTTTAATTGTCCTTTACTGTCCTAACTCTGATTGTCCAAATTCTTATTGCTCTAATTTTATTACTACTTTTATATTTATTTTATTGCTATTAAACTTTTAAAATTTTAAAACAAGTGATTGGCGTTTTTCACACACCTGAGATGGCACTCCCATTCCAGGATGCCCTGGACAATGTTGTGGCTGCTCCTTATCACCAGGGGGATCTTCACTCCCTTACAATTCTTCAGTCTCAAAGATGGGTGCATTTATAAATGATTCGATGGGTGAGGGGCTTTGGAGTGTGGGAATTCTGGATAAATTAGAGATGGCACTTCTGAGTTGTTTTAGGTGGTGCGATTTATTTTTCTTAGCTTCTGCATAGGCAGGGAGGGTGAGTTCGGCTCACATCTTTACTGCATGGCTCAGAAAGTCACAAGACCTTTAGTTGCAAGACCTTTTAAGGATTTATTAACTAATAAAACACTGCTAACAAGGTTATTTATGCTTTTGACCTAATCTTTAAATATTTCTTCTTATGGACACATGCTACAAAGTAAGCTTTCTTAGTTAACCATGTTATGACACACAAACTTACAGTACTACATTTTAAACTTCTTGTTACCTTTGTAACTACTTTTATTTTTCCTATATCTTAAACTTCAAAACTCTAAACTTTCTTCTACTTAGCTTAACATGTCTCTGCTTTAAACTGTAAATCTACATTCTTGATTCTAGCACCTAAGTTTGGAAGCCTTTTCCAAGGTCTCAAATCAAATACTGTGTCTAATTCTAAGCTTTGTCTTACAGGTCCAAAGTTCTGAGAGTTCCCTGCATTTTGGATTCCAATAAGTAGGAGTGGGTGTTAATGCCTTCAAAATGTGTTTTAAT